GTCAATACGTCACCCGTGACGCATAGACTGGACCGGAACTCCTCAAATGTAGGCGTCGGTAACCCCTTGGTCATGACATCGGCGAACTGCTGAGTAGTAGGAACATGAGAGACACGAACATGCCCAAGAGCCACCTGTTCACACACGAAGTAGTTGTGGAGCTAGATATGCTTCGTGCGACGATGATGAATAGGGTTGGCGGAGAGTAGACGGCGGAGACGTTGTCACAATAGACAACAGTAGCCTTGGCCACGCCAAGGTGCAGCTCCTGAAGAAGTTGTCGTAGCCAGGAACACTGGGTAACGACGTTAGCCACTGCCCGATACTCGACCTCGACACTCGATCTGGACACCGTGGGTTGTCCTTTAGACGACCACGATATGAGAGAGGGCCCAAGATAAACGCAGTAACCAGAGGTGGAGCGACGAGTGTCGGGACAACCAGCCCAATCATCATCCGAGTAGGCGACCAAGTCAGCGAAAGAGGACGCTGTCAACGTGAGACCCAGAGTCATGGTGCCGCAGATGTAATGGAGGATCCGCTTCACCAAGTTCCAGTGTGAGTCGCGTAGAGCATGCATGTGAGGGACACCTGCTGAATGTCATACTGCAAGTCTGGCCGGGTGAGCGTCAAGTACTGAAGAGCACCAACAATGGACCTGTAGAAAACAACGGCCTGTGCTGGAGAGCCATCAAGTGCAGAGACCTTGGCCTTCGTGTCGATAGGCGTAGGTACAGGCTTGCAGTTAAGCATGCTAGCTCGCTCGAGTAGCTCCTGGGCGTACTGCTGTTGATGAAGAAAGAACCCATCAGCGTGCCACACCACCTCGATCCCGAGGAAGTAGTGCAAAGGACCAAGGTCCTTGATAGCGAACTCAGTGTCGAGACGAGCTGTGAGCTGGAGAAGGAGCTTGGCCGAAGAAGCTGTTAGAATGATGTCATCGACGTAGAGTAGCAGATAAGCAGTCCCGCTGTCGTGATGGTACACGAACAGGGAGGCATCGGAGCGAGTAGCTCGAAACCCAAGCTGCTAAAGAAATGCAGCAATCCGCTGGTACAACGCACGAGGAGCCTGCTTGAGCCCATAGAGAGAGCGCGAGAGCAGGCACACGTGATCGGGCTGAGTGGCATCGACGAAGCCAGTGGGCTGCTGACAGTAGACCTGTTTGGCAAGGTGGCCATGAAGAAAGGCGTTGGAGACATCCATCTAATGGACGGGCCAAGCGCGAGAGACCGCAAGCTACAGAACAGCGCGGTGGTGGCTGGTTTAACAGCCGGGGGAAAGGTGTCGGTGAAGTCAACATCGGCACGCAGGCAAAAACCGCGGACTACCCAACGAGCCTTGTACCGCTCAAGAGTCCCGTCCGTTAGAGTCATATGGCGAAAGACCCATTTGCCGCTGATGACATTAGCATGCGGGGGGCGAGGAACCAACTGCCAGGTGCGGTTGCGCTGAAGAGCATCAAACTTCTCCTGCATCACAGCGAGCTAGTGAGGATCACGGAGAGTGG